TGCTGTTCCGCCCCAGACCCCTGACATGTTGTATGTCCTGCCCCAGCCCCAGAGCAACATGGTTGATCCCTCATGGACCAGAAGCTCCAAAACTGTGAGCCAAAACAAACCTTTCCTCTTCATAAGCTAATACCTCTGGGAGCTCATTACAGTAACACACAATGTTGGATGTGATGTTGAGTAAGCTGCCACTTCAGGCAATGGGTTCACCACAGAGAATCCTGGAAGACCCAGAGAACACTTGCAAGAGCTGCGTCCCTGCAGGGCAGAACACCCAGGTTCTCACTCACCAGTGCCATCGCTCATGGGTTGAGAGCTGCTCTGAGGACTTCCCCTCAGCATGGGGCTCGTCTCCCTTCCCCGTGCTTTAGTAAGGCACAGATCTGAGGTCAGAGAGACAGAGGTCTGTGCCCTTGAAGGAGAACTCTCCACCACGTCTGCGTGTGACCTCTGAGGGTGTGCCAGGGCCACACGGCGGGGCCGGCAACCTGTCTGCCATGACGTGTGCCAGGTTTGTAACACACCAGCTGGGAGGCCCCGCAGGAGGGAGAAACAGTTTGGTGTTCACAACTTTTGCTTATCTGCACAAGGCAACAACAAACAACCTTCTGTAGCCCTGGCTGTGCACACCTGCCTGTGTATCTGCGGCACGAATTCCTGGAAGTGCGCTCTCTGGGCCAAGAGTTTGCCATCTTGATGGATGCATCCAGTCTGGCACCCTGCGAAACTGCCTGTCTCTTGCGCGCTCGCCAACATCAGTGTTAACACTCTTTGATCTCTGTCAATCTGGTAGATGAAAAAATAGCACTCATACTTTAAAATTTCGTTTTTAAAATTCTAACTGAGGTTGGCATCCTCTCATGTGTTTGAAAGCCATCTGTCTTCCTAATAAGCTAATGAACCTGCAGAGTAACCAATGAAAGCTGCTGATGGCACACACAGAATCCCAGGCACCCTGCACCTCCTCGGAGAGGAGATGGCGCACTGCACGCGCGCACCGAAAATAAAACCGCATCTGGCCATGCTGCTAAATGCAAGCAGCATTTACAGAAGGTGCGAGGGACCAAGGGAAGGCAGCCCCCAAAATGCAGACGGGGGAAATCGCCTCCGGCCAATGACCCCACTTCCTCCATTTCTTCAACAAGTGAAATGGAAGCAAGAGATGGGAGAGGGGTAGATTAACAGAGGTGTGAGCACGGGCTGAACCCCTGGACTTCCACACCCAGGAAGATGGAGGTTACTTTTCCCTCTTTCTCCTGCAGAGCCAACCTCACACAAGCATCACAAAGCTGAAAAGTGGAAGAAGGCAGGCTGGCTGGGGACTTCAGGACGACAACAATAACCTGAGCCCTACTTTTGGCTGAATTGTGTCCCCCACCCCAACTCATACGTGGAGTTCTAACTCAGAGTGTGACTTATTTGGAGATAAAACCTTTAAGAGGTTTTATCTGTCACCTGTGCTAGGCAACTGCTTTACCTTGAGCTCCCCTCAACATGACACAGAGGTGACAGGCCGGGCGTGGTGGCACATGCCTGTAATCCCAGCACTCGGAGGCTGAGGCAGGAGGATCATAGTGAGTTCGAGGCCAGTCTGAACTGCATCGTGAAACCCTGTCTCAAAAAGGCAAAAAAAAAAAAAAAAAAAAAAAGTGACATGCCAGGCGTGATGACACATACCTGTAATCTCAGCTCTCTGGGAGGCTGAGACAGGAGGATTCACCAGTTCAAGCCTAGCCTGAGAGACTTAGTGTTGTAGTGAGACCCTATCTCAAATTTTTTAAAAAAGGGCTGAGCACGTAGCTCAATGGCAAAGCCCTGGTTTCAATCCCCAGTGCGCACACACACAAAATAAATACAATAAAAATTTTAAAAAGAGGTGACTACATTCAAATGAAAGCCAGATGTGGTTGTGCATGCCTGCACTCAGCACTCAGGAGGCTGAGGCAGAAGGATCGCTGTGAGTTCAAGGCCAGCATGAACTACATGAGGAGATCCTGCCTCCAAAACAACAAATTCGGCAAGCGCAAGGTCATGAGTTCGATTCCTGGTACCGGAAGAAAAACAAACAAAACAACAAATTCAAAGCAGGCTACTGAGGAGGACTCCAGTTTCAGAGAAAAGGGGACTTGGGTTCAGAAAGAGACCGGGAATGCTCACACACAAGAAAGACCCTGTGAGGATATGGCAAGAAGCCAGCCATCTGCAAGCTGAGGAGCGAGGCCTCAGAAAAATACCACGCCTAACGACTGTTGCTCTGGGACTTCCAGCCTCCAGGACAGTGAGAAAATAAATTCGTGGGCACTTTGTTACAGTAACTAATCCAGAGAGATGCCTGGAGCGAACCCGACCCAGGCTGCAGAGCCCCAGCAACCGCAGAGCCATGTTAGATACAGGTAAATGCTCCAAGTTGTAAGTCCCTGAGTTTGGGGTTGTTCATTATAGAGTTTGTTTTCTGCAGTGCTGGGGGTGGAACTCAGAATCTCCCTTGTGCTAGGCAAGTGCTTTACCTTGAGCTCCCCTCGACGGGACACAAAGCACATCATGGTAAGGGGACTTCTCTGCACAAGGCCGGACTTGCCCCACCTCAGCTGAGTTTTCTTTGTTGCGCACAACATGGTTTCTTAGTAATCTGTTCATTGATTTTGTTGTTGTTGTTGCTGTTGTTGTTGTTGTTTTTCCGGTACCGGGAATCGAACTCATGATGTTGCGCTTGCCAGGCAGACGCAGTGCCGCTGAGCTAAACCCCCAGCCCCAATAATCTGTTCATCTAAATGAGGTGTGCTGGGCTGTGATGTAGCTCAGTGGTAGAGTGCAAAGCTCTGGGTTCAATCCCCACCAGTACCACATACACACACACTCACACACACACACACACACACACTCACACACACACACACATACACACACAGTTGTGCTGCACATTTACCATGTTCAGTTGTGTTCATGCTGCTACCAAAGCATCAAAGTTAAAACAATGAGATTTAAACACAACACCCCAAGTTTCTTTTTTTTCTTTTCTCTCTCTGTCTGTCTCTCTTTCCTTCTTTTTGGCAGTCCCCCTCCCCTGGCAGTACTAGGCCTTGAGCCAGGGATCCTCTACCACTGAGATACATCCCCAGCCCCTTTTTTATTTTGAAAATAAAATAAACTGCCCAGGCTGGTCTTGAACTTGCAATCCTGCCTCAGCCTCCGAAGCAGCTAGGATTACTGTAAGCAGCCTAGTGCCTGGTTACCCTTAAACACTTCTAAAGCCCCTACAGTGTCAACTTCTGACTGTGTCCACCGAACAGGCTGGGGGGCCTGGAAGGTAGAGCCCCTATCTGCTGATTCTCTGAATCTCTGCATCTCTCAACTCAATACAATGATTAATAAATGGATCTTAGGCATGGTAGGGTACATCTGTAATCCCAGTGCTTGGGAAGCTGAGGCAGGAGGATCTTGAGTTCAAGGCCAGCCTTGGCAACTTAGCCAAACTACCTCAAAAATACAAAGGTTATTTCACAGCAGATTAAGATGGAGCCTGGGACCAAGAAAAATGCCTTCTCAGATATATTAAATGGATGTTCAAGGCTTCCCATGTCTTGTTCCCAAGGCCCCCAGGCTGTCTTCGCCTGCTTTCCTCCAAACCTCTCTTCAGCAGTTTCCAGGGCTCTGTGTGGCCTCCTGTCCCCTTCCCATCGCCTTCTCTTCCTTCTCTTCCCGTCCTCTGCAGCACCCTCACTGGCTCCCTGTGTTTCCTCTTTCGTACCACGGTCCTCACTGCCACAGGGCCTCTGCGCACGATTTTCTCTCTACCTACGCGCTGTGTTCCCTGACTTCCACCCTGTCATCTTTCACATTTCAGGACGTGGATGCTTTCTCAGCGAAACGCTCCAGAGTTAGTTAGTTCCTCAGTGGGTCAGTCCTGCTCTTACACTCACTTGCGTTCGTTAGGGTGACTGATTTATGTCTCTTTCCCCATTCCAGATTTTCTGATTGTCAAGGACGTGAATCCATGAGGTCTCATTCATTCTGTCCCCAGAGCCGATACATAGTGGGTGCATATAAATATTTGTTGGTTGAATGAATATTGTGACTACTCTGCTAAACCCTCCCAGTGGCATCTGGGGTGTCCTTGGGGGTGTGCGGCTCAGCTATGGCCTCTAGGGGTAGTCCTAGGACACCTCCAACAGCCCCACTTTGAGACCAGCTACAGACTCCGGCAAACTCGGTGCCCTGGGACGGCTCCAGCCAACGGTTGCGCCCAGCGGGGCTGCCGGGGCTGGGAGGATGCCGTCCAAGGCTGAAGTGTTCGAGTGGGCACCGCGTGCTGCGGGCTCCCCACGGGCCCACCAAAGCTTCCTCAGGACGCTATGCGGTTACCAACGCGACATCCAGGACCCTGCTGCTCTGCGTGCGATACTGATCTTTGCCAGCAGAGGGCGGTAGAGGGGTGCAGAAGAAGCGCGGGCGTCTCAGGGTGTGTGGTGCGTGCGTGCGCTGCTCCTGTATGTGACTGGTTAGCAATGTGTGCTCGGACATCTAGGGGTGGTGTCCCCAGCCGGGCGTCTCTCAGAACCTGCTGGCCGTCAGGGGTGCGGCTGCCGCCCGCCTTATACCTGGCTCCCCCGCCGCAGCTCGGCCTGGCACCCGAGGGCAGCGTCCGCGCGAGAGGACAGCGGCCACCGCGGGCCGGGCCCGGCGAGGAGGCTGCAGGGGCGCCGTCCCGCGAGGTCTGGGGCGAGGCTGGGAGAGCGCCCTCCAGTGTCGCCCTTCCCTGGCGACTCCCCCGGGCACCCTGAGCACTCGCTTCACAGAGAACGGAGGGGCCGGGCGTGGTGGCGCACGCCTGTAATCCCAGCACTTGAGAGGCTGGGGCAGGAGGATCATTGCAAGTTCGAGACCAGCCTGGGCTACAAAGCGAGCTCAAGGTCGGCCTGAACTGCACAGCGAGACCCTGTCTCAAAAAGACAAAAAAAAAAAAAGAGAACTGAGGGAGGCTGAGCCGGAGCACTGTGAGTCTGAGCTCTGCCTGGGAAATCTAGCAATTTAGCAAGACCCCGCCTCGAAATTCAGAGTAAGAGGGCTGAGGACGGGACTCGTGGCTTCAAGCCCCAGCGCCACAAAACCAAAACAAAAACTTCCCTCTGGGCTTTGCGCTCGCTTTCTTTTTTCCAGGCTGGTGACAAGAGCCGGTCCGTCCGTGCAGTCAAGCGCGCGACCGCTGCGCTCACCGGTCACCGCCAGCGCTCTCGCTCTCTTCCCGGGGCTCGCTCAGCCGTCCTTGGAAGTGCGGCCTCTTCCAAGGAGCCTTTGTCTGCCGTCCCAAGCCCTTCTAACGGTCCCTCTGTCCTTTGTTTCTTCCTAGCACTCCTGGCCAGGGAAACACTGTCCTTCACGGTGCTGTCTCCCGCTGCAGAGGGAGGGACGTCTCCACGGAGCCCAGGGCTTTGTCCTGTTCCGCGGCACCCTGGGATTAGTACCTGGTATGCAGTAGGTTCTCAGTAAGTATTTGTTAATTGATTGGCTAAAGGAATGTGCACCTGGACCTGTAATCCCAGCACTCGGGAGGCTGAGGCAG